AATATCCTCCTTGTGTAAAAGACAAATGATCATCCTTTAATGTATTCAATTCGCTTTCAAATGTACTAATGTTTTCCATTTGTACTTCTTGTTTCCTTTCTTGTTCCAACTGCCACGGCTGTAGTCTCTCTTCTTGTTTATTTTCTCGTTCTTCTTGTTTCTCTTCTTTTTCTTCCAACAACTGCTGTAATCTTTCTTGTTTATTTTGTTGTTCGAGCTGCCACTGTTGCAGGTTTTCTTGCAACTGCTGTTGTCTCTCTTCTTGTTTCTTTTCTTTCTCCTCCAACCACTGCTGTAATCTCTCTTTTTGTTTATTTTCTCGTTCTTCTTGTTTATTTTCTTTTCCTCCAACCACTGCTGTAATTTTTCTTCTCGTTTCTTTTGCTGTTCTTGTATTGCTGCCATCAAATCTGCTAAGCTGTAGTTTGATTTGCCGCTTCTCGTTTCCATTTTTTTCTTTTCCATCCCATATCTGACACCAATTTGTTACGTCTCTGGTCGTTAGTTAATTTTCCGTATAATTTCTTTCCGAAGAAACTTTAGCGATACAAGTCCTTTCTTAAATAAAACTGGTTTATTCTTTCAGAATACAACTTTGCAATACACTTAATTTCAACGGTCACAATACAAGTTAACCAAACGCTATAATTCACAAAGAACATCACACATGCTCGACCCAACAATACGTCTCTCTCTGTCCGCAGTTCAATTACATTACGTTGTTGTCGTCAGTTCTTACCGGTCTTATATATACAAGAATACCGCATATCTAGTAACCTCTTGAGACTTCAGGAAGGGACGTGAACGTTCGAGAATATGATGTGTTACTAGCGTCACGTGACCCACGCTGTCGTAACAATATTATAATTATGACTTGTTTTTGCCTTCATGTTGTGCAGGAGTGATTTTTTTTCAGGTTTAACAGACAGAGTTTTCTGATGTAGAATATAAAAGCTGACTGCATTTATATAAACTGAGCGTTGATTTACTTTTGAATAAAGATTCTGATTATATGTTCACTTCATTTTTGCCTATTGTTACGACAGCAGAAGTCACGTGACGCTAGTAACACGTCATGAATTTCTAGAAAATTCATGTCCCTTCGTGAAGCCTCGAGTGTTTACTAGACGTGCGGCACTCTTGTATATAAGACCGCCAAGAAGTGACGGAAACGATGCAATTGAATTGCAGACAGAGATAGAGATGACAAATGAGTCAAGCGCGTGAATCGTTAGAATATTTAGAAGAGCAAGGGAAATGGTCAATTTTAGATGGAATAACTGGACAAGATTCTGTGTGGATACAGAAAGAAAAAAGAAACACTTTATAAATCATGAAAGAAAAAGAATGAATTATATGATATATCATCTGATTTATTTTTGTTGTTTTTACCCATACTATTTGATATATTAATAGACATATAGATATATTTCCATTTAAAAAGTAAATAGTTTCAGTAATACAAGTGGTGTTTATATTATTGAAAATAATATACTATGTTCTCATATGCTTCTAATAATAGAGCCTGCAAATAGAATGGTAGTGGTGTTCCTAATTCTCACGTTTAAGAGAGGTCAGCTCAGTCGCAACGCTGCAAGAAGTTAGGGAAGGCACATCCAGTAGAGTTAGAAAGACATATATATGAGCTACTGCTATAGCCTACAGTGTTAGTATACTTATGCTAGGACTAACTGTTTGGTAATATTAACACTTATAAACCGAAATTCTATTCTATGTCTATCAAGTGATATTTTTTCTTACTTATTTCACTGTTTCGTCACCTATAAGATTGGTTTGTAGTCGATTACTTTTTTATTGGCGGCAGAGCCGCGATAGGCCTATGCTTGCCTATGTCAAGTTTAAGTGATCTTCCTGATTGCGAGCAACAAAAGACTGAGTACTGTAATAATAAACGACGAAGGTCACTAGAAAACAATCATCATAACTCTGATCGCTTGTCAAAAAAAATTAAAGGCAACCAAGAATCAAATATGACAGACACAGGAACGTCTAAGAAAAACAATTTTGCAAACCTTCAAAGCCCAAACGGAGTCAGTAAAAGTGCCTCCCCTTTGGTTGCTAATAAGCCTGGCTCAGCAAAGAAGCTTGTCATCAAAAACTTTGGTAAGTTGAGTTGGCCACTGTAATTTGTAAATTGTGTAAGTGTAAGACTAGCGTTTAGTAATTATTGAGCAGTGAATATAATGCATACATAATTACTAATTAGCATAATAACAAAGAACTAACTTGTTCAGGTTAGATTACTAAGCCACTTAAAGTCTGAAAATTGAAACAGCTTATAATATATTGTAATTTTCTTACAATTAAAAATTTTATTGGCCATTTTTAGTAGTAGTTGAACTACTACTATTTATATTTAGGAAGAACTCGTAGAGGTCTTGGTAATTAGGAACAAGAAGCATTGAAACAATTTTAATGTATAACGTCAGCAGAGTAGCAGTTTAACATAATCTAATTAACTGAAATACATCAAAGTAATTGACATATTTAGGGTTATGAAACTAGAGCAGACCAAAGTTAATAATTATTCTTTGGTCCTACTAAATACTATCGGGAATTGTCAGGAAATGTCAAAAACGATCAATAAAAAAAATGGCAACAGTCCATTGCTCTGACAGCCCTTATATAAAAATTATATATATTATAAGTTTGAAGTAAATAGGTAAAAAAAATCCTTAAGATGAAGAAATCTTTATTTTAAACAAAAAGTTCATAAATTTTAGATAATTACACTCGCTTCTCATCAACAGTAATTACAGTTGCACCTTTTGATTGATACAGTGGGTCTCTTGTTCTGTTGTACTTTAAATTTTTATCTGCTACTCCTTCACATCCATAAATAGGTTAAATATTCCAATGTTTTTCTGTAAGATAACTTGTTTTAAATATACTACTACTCTTGTGCCTTTTTACGGAAATGTGTTTTAATTCTTCTTGTCACTATTTTGGTGAGACTGCTCTCATTGTACTTTCATTGATGTTTTTTCAAGTGTATTGTAAGGTCAGTGTTTTCCTTACTATTCATGCAAAGAATTCCATCATAAAATCTTTAACATTTGGACATATACCACAGGGTTAAATGAATAACTTGAAATTTACAGATATGCTTTCACTTAAGAGTGAGAGGGATAATATATGATGTGTTACCAGATGGTGTTGGAAAATTGTGTAAAGTAGTAATAATATTAATTTTAATGTTTATCACATTGTTAATTCAAGAATCTATATTTCACCTTTCCTTATTTTACTGGGTTGTTACACAAGATGACAAATTGTACCCTCTACAACAGTTATCACAGGTGACGTACTACATTCCCAGGTGTTAAAGACAAGACCTTGTACTCTAATGTTAGATTATTTAATACATAAAACAAGGTTGGTCATCTTGTTTACTTTTTAATGAAATAAACATTGAACTTTTTCATTAATATTTTAAGTTGCATCAGTTTTTCATCAGTATTCAGTGGTCACGGTATGTCTGAATTCTGAAAGTAGTCTTCATAAACATAATAGAGATGTGTAAAAATAGCATTTTAAGTTATGTTTTGAAATCATTAATGGACTAATTAACTTAAGAGGAATGTGGGAAAAGAAATATCTGCTGCCTAGGATGTTTTTTATTGTGAATGTTAAGCCTGTTACCAAATATATGTTAAAAAGGAATAGTATACAGTGTCATAACAGATCTGGAAATTAAATTGTTGGTAATGGTAACTTAATATTAAGGATGATAAGCTTTGGATTCCTAAATTCAGACTTATTTTAATATAAGTTATTTTTCAGAGTTACATACTTTACAAATAATTCTTGTTTGTCCTTAGTTTGAATTAGTCTCTGTGTTTTGGGGAAGTGTGTATATGTGTGTGACGTAACAGCCTTATTTCACTAATCTTTCCTGCATTACGTATATTATTAAATGAAGTATTAAGCTTATTCAGAGTTTGCATTTGTCATAAAAATCCTTGAAATTCATGGAAATTTGTAAACAGATTTTTCAGTACCAGTAATCCTGGAAAATTAATTGCTTTGATCAGAAAAGTCTTGCAAAAGTCCTTGAAACTCTAACCTGGTCACTACCACATCCTGTTTTTATTAATGACAATTTGTACTGTTGTGTCTATCTCAGTTTCAGGGAGAATATCTAGAAAATGAGATTTGTACAATGGAAAATACTCAGTCTTCACCATATTTATGTGGCCACCATTAACAAAAAAAGATGTTTTGTGAGCAAAACTTGCCATACATGGATCTTGTCAGTTTTTCTTTGTCAAAATATTTAACAAATGTTCCAAAATTTTAAATAAGCATGGGTTGATAGATGGGCAAATGAGGATATTTAAAGGAGAATTACTTTCTACAAATTTATAAAAAAACTATAATAACACACGAGCAAAATTATGCACAAATGCTTACAAATGATTAAAGAACTAACAAAACATACAAAACAAACCAACTAGTTTCAATAAGCTAAGTGTGTCATTCTCAGGGGATATACTATTCTCAGTATCTTGCACTCTTGCACCTTCAATTTTAAAATGCTTTCGTAAAGGTCAAGGTTCACTAATGGCATTAGTGCCAAAACTAATTTGAAAAAAAACAGCAACTTCTAAGTAGGGTGAGTTCAAATCCCATTTCATTATTGAGCATGTCTTCTCTGTTTTAAATATTACTGTTGACTCACTTGTGTTGCATCGATGGAAGATTTTGTGTTCTGCAATGATTTTTGATTGATTGAAATTAATTTTGGTTGGTTGTGTGAACATGTAATGCTAAAGCTGATTTTTCAGCTTCCTTCCAATGACACTATTGTCTGATCTCTTACTTTAACTGAAAGACATCATTTTGTTTGACCAGTATCAACACAATTATAAGAACAAGTAATAGAATAAATACCCTATCTGTGGTGGGCTTCTATTTTATCTTTCCCTTTGATAAGTTTACTTGAACGTTTTTCCACTGGCTTATAAGCTTGACGTATTTTAGTATCATATCCTTAGAAAAGAACTATCTCTTAAGCTGTCTAGTTATTTAGTACACTTTGCTACTAAGCTTTTCAATTTTATTGAGCAAATTAGTTATTAAGTTTGTTTTACATCTTGTGGAAGCTTCAAAATGTTTGAAGTAGTTTAAATCATCATGAATACCTTTTTATTTATGTGAGCAAATGTTCAAAACATGTCAAGTTACAGGTTTGTATACATCGGTTTTCTGAGAATAAGGATATCTAGAGTTGTTGTGTGGAAAGAGACTTACACTTTCTACTTTTCAGTAGATGGCTGTGTGTAACTTGCCATCAGAGCATCATGTAACTAAAACAATGAGAAAGTATCTGGTAATTATATTTTAGTTCATAAGTAACTTGTATGTCTGGACGAACTGAGTTTGCTATGAAACTGTTTAATGTAGTTTGTTATAATCAAGAAGTAAGGGCTATATATCATCAGCATATCATACACAGAAATAAAGTTTTTCATCCATTTCATTAAAGAACTTATTTTCAAGGTAATCTATAGTCATTTTTGATAACTCGGGTGTTACTATTATTGCTAGAATGTTCAATACAGCTTTTAACATCTTTTTTGTATAATATAAATGTCAGATTTTAAAAATAATATATATATATATATATATATATATATATATATAT